GGGTAACTCCTGATCGTGGTCTTCCTCCTACTGATGTCTCCCTGACTCACCCGCCTGATGTGGATGAACCATTTGTTAGACGATTCGTTAAGCTGCCGTTTATCCCTGGTTCGACGACGGAACTCTAGAGTTCGCGAAATATACCACCAAACCTTTAGGCTGTATTTTTTCCAGTTTGAAAGATCGTCCCCCTGATGGCCTGAAGTCTAACCTGATCTATAAGATCAACTGTCAGGGTTGCTCCGGCTCTTACGTGGGTATGACCAGCCAATATCTTAGAAGAAGAATAGACCAACACCGTAGGAACTGCAGACTAAAAAAGTCGAATGCCACGGCCCTTGTGGAACACCATCTAACCACGGGGCATACTTTTGATTTCGACAATTCTTCTATACTATATTGTGAACCTTCCTATTACAAACACCGTTTTTTGGAGATGTTCCACATCTTGAATGAGCCCAATTCTGTTAATTTTCGCACAGATGTGCAGAATGTTAGTGACATCTATTGCCATTTGGTTAAGTTGCATGTTGCTCGTCCCTCATCTCTCGACGATTCGTCATTCGGGGCTGTCTGGTTTTGACCTTTGTTTTGGTTTTCAAGGTTCCTACCTTGTGGCTGGGGTGTTATCTTTTTCTCTTCCTCGTGGGTTGGTATTGCTCTCGGTCCTTACCTGTCATGGACCTCACCTGTTTCTTTGTTGTTGTGATTGATTCTCAAATTTGATTGATCCTGTGCCATCGTGTGTTGGATTTTGGTTTTACGGCGGTCTTTGGGCCGTTTACTAACTTGGTTCATTGTTCATTGTAAATAATAGCGTTCCTCTGATGAAGAATTAAATAAAATTCGAAAGCTAAAGTACTAGAAGGAGGTTTTTTATTCACCTCCTGGTTGACAATCCCAATAATTGGCTCCGTACATAATATACAGGGTATCCCGCAACGATTGTACAATACTGCATCAGCGTATTCTCTGATCGAAAACAGACAAGAAAAGTCTAATAAACATAGGTCCGAAAATGGACCAATTTCGAGATATTCAAAGTTTTAGTTTCATAAGCTGACCTATTGTAAACATCATTAATTCTAACGATTTAGATGCAGTAATTATATGATTACCATGGTTACGATGGTTAAGATAAAGTTTAATAAATAATAAGATAATATTAAGTTAATTAATACAGTTCATTAATAATTTAACAAAACAAGTAACAAAGATTGTCGAAGAAAATCGTTCAACCAGCATAAAAACAACGAATATTTAACAAATTGGAAAAGATTCATGTCATAATAAATGTTCAATATGCGCACCATTTACTTCTAAACACAAACGGATACGTTTTCTAAATGAACTTCTAATGCGTTCAAAGATACCAGGAATTTGTTTTACTGTGTCAAATGCGTTACTAATTTTATTCTTCAAATCCTGCACATTTTGAACGTCTTCAGAATAAACAATTTGTTTTAAATGTCCCCAAAACCAAAAATCTAACGGATTTAAATCTGGTGAACGAGGTGGCCACGGGACAGGACCTCCTCGGCCAATCCACTTATTGCCAAATCTGTTATTTAAGTATGCTCGAGTAGCGCGTGCATAATGTGCTGGTGCTCCATCGTGCATAAAGTAGCAATCTTCTAGAATTTGTTGAGGTAATTCATCAAATGCCTCTGTAAGGTCATTTTGTAAAAAATGTATGTAGGCATCGGCTGTCAATCTCTTTGGAAGAAAAAATGGACCTAATAACTGATCACCTATAACTCCAGCCCATACATTAACACTGAATCGCCACTGATGATGAGTTTCTAGTATTGCATGGGGATTTTCATCGCTCCAAACGTGCGCATTATGAATATTAAAAATTCCGCTTTGAGTAAATGTTGCTTCATCCGTAAATACAATGTTTATGGGAAAGTCGACGTTTACTACCTCTTCCTGTATGGCCCACCTACAAAAAATCTCTCTTTTTTCGCCATCATTTTCTGTTAGAGCTTGAACGGTGTTGTAATGATAAGGATAAAGCAACTGCTCCCTTAAAATGCGGTGAACGGTTGTTTTGTTAATGTTTTCTTGTGCAGAAATTCTTCTAATGCTGGTTGAGGCATTTTCATCGACTCTTCTCAAAACTGCTTCTTCTAATTCCACCGGCCTTGTGTAATGTCTCTCCGTGGAATGGCTGTGGGTTACGCTTCCCGTTTCTTTTAATCTGAGAAATAGTCTGCTAAAGGTGTGACTATTAGGCAATCGTCTGTTCGGGAACCTTTGCGCGTAATGACGAGCTGCTAACGACGCATTTCCATCAGCTAGTCCGTAACAATACACCATATCCGCCATCTCTTCCTTGGAGTAATTAATAGGAGCCATACTTAATAGTTTTATTAAATTAAATAGTAAAATAATAATTTCGTAAAGTATTATTATTTTTTTTTGATTAGACAATTTATCGTAATCATAGTAACGACTTAATTATTATAAAAACAAATTTAAATTCATGATGTTAACAATATCAACTTATGAAACTAAATCTTTGAATATCTCGAAAATGGTCAATTTTCGGACCTATGTTTATTAGGCTTTTTTTGTTTATTTTTGATCATAGAATACGCTGATGCAGTTTTGTACAATCGTTGCGGGACACCCTGTATAATGTATAGCAAAGGACCAAGCACTGAATCCTGTGGAACACCCACATGTACCACGCTTTCACTGGATCTTTCATTGTTCCACTCAGTATATTGTGTACGATCTATTAGATAGGATTCCATTATTTTATTAGCAACGCCTCTTATACCATAGTAGCTTAACTTTCTCAACAGTATCTTGTAGTCAACTGTATCGAACACCTTACCGAGATCACAAAACAATGTTTCTATCTTCAAGTTTTTATCAAAAGCCTCTAATATAGATTCGATAATGCTTGTCCCTGCAGTGATCGTCGCTCTTTGTCTGCGGAAGCCGTGGTGATTTTTGTTCCACATGCTACCGTTATCAAAGGATTCTTCTATGCGATCTTTTGGTATCTTTTACTTTTCCTAGGTATTCTTCCTTGTATCATTTGTATATGACTGTGTCTAATGATGGTGATTAAACTAATTGTTGCGGAATGCGCATTAGGTTAATTAGAATAAAAAAGGCCAGGAGAAACTTAAGATGTAACAAAAACGTTTTTATATTATTTTTGCTTATACAAATCCACACGCGGTCACTTACACTCAAGGTTCACGATTGCCAACTTCAACATTTTCCCACCTTCTTATTATAATTGGAATACATTGTACAAAAATTTCCAACAAGCGGTATTGAAATTTGTTAAAATCGGACGGCAACCCCTCAAAGGCAGAGATCCTCAATCATTATCCCTTACTTTATTTTCAAATTTTAATTTGTTTTCTCTAAACATTAATCTTTACCTTTGAAGACTACTTTGGTTGAAGATATTTTCCGAATCGACGCTCAATAATTGTCGTAAATTATCGACCAAAATGTAGATTAATTGTTCTAACATGCTGAGTATCGCCTTGTGTGTTAATTATTGTTATTTATAAATGACTTTGTGTTACATGTAACTTTGGAAGCCTCTCTGGTTAGCAAAATAGAGAACACACTTCTTAATAACGGAGTAATCAATTTTATTTTAACCACACGTTCTCTTTTGATGAAATCTATTTTAATTTTGATTAAAGTTATTCAATAGATTATCGAATAGAAGGCTTTATATATTTTCTAAGCACCGTGAAACTAGACCATACCCATTGATGTAATTGGATTTTCTTCTCTAAAACTTGGAACGTACATTTTCAATTTACCGTGCATATAACGAGATCCTTCTTTAAAGATTCAAAGGGTTCGTTTAAGAAATGAACCTTTGATAAATTTAGTTAAAAATCATTAATTTTACAAAAATCAATTTGCTATAGTAACCGTTTTTAGTATTGAATTTACAAAAACTCATCATGATGTCAAAAAATCAAGTCTTAAAAAACCGTTTATTTGTGAAATATGGCCACGATTGCAGTATTCCAACATTGATTAGCGATCTCCCAATGTTCCAACAAAGCACTGGTATTATTGCACAAATTAGAAATACTTGGACTCGTCTTCGAATGTGTTCCGAGATTAGTAATCGGGCCCGATACTATTTGCAAAGTCAAAAATGTATTGAAATCGAAAGAAGAAATCATCTAAATCATTTGTTTATAATCCATCCGTTTAGTGACTTGAGATTGTATTGGGAATTGTTTATGGTTATTGTACATATGACGATGCTGATCATGTTTCCGTTTGATCTTGCTTTTTATAAAATTAATTTGGTTGAGAATTTTACCGAAACCGCAAGTTGGAGGATGGTAAGATTCGTGACGGATATTATTTGTTTACTCGACGTTATCGTTGCTTTTAACACTGCATATTACGATAAGAAGAGAAATATCGTTATGATGGACCCTAAAAAAATAATTACGAAATATCTTTTCAGTTATTTCATTTTAGACGTTATTTCGGCTTTTCCCAGTGATATTGAAGTATCTAGCTTTGGAAAAACGGGCAGGGTATACGACGATATGAATGATTTTATAATGCATATGTCCGTTTCTAAATTGTTGCGTGTAAGAAATTTCGTGATTTATTGCGACAACACATCTAAACACTTTAATATACGACGCACAACAATCAAGATTATGATACTTATATCATTATATATGTTTTATTTTCATTTTGTTACATGCATGGTTATTCTTCTTATTAGCATGGATACGGTTCCCCATCGTTATGAATACACCATTTATAACAAATCGAGGACTTACATGCCATATAACTTACAATTACACGCAAAATTAACTTACATTTACACTTTCTATCAAATAGCTGGTGTAATAAACAATTCAGATTATTTGTTAGCAAATAACGGAAAGTATTATGTAACATCCATTACGATTTGGATAACATCAAAATTTTTCTATTTTTTTCTTATTGCCGTCATTCTCAAAATAATAGAATGCAGAGCCATGGCGAAACAAAAATATGATGAACTAACCACGCAATTATCCGAATACATGAAGCATAAACAACTTCCGGTTTATCTACAATCGAGAATTTGGACGTACTTTGAATTTCAATTTCAAAAAAGTTATTTTAGAGAGGATAAAATTTTGGGTGCCGTTTCGAGTACTTTACGTCAGGAAATTCAAATGCATAGTTGCAAGAAGTTGGTGGAAAACGTGGATTTCTTTCGCGACCTTCCCATGAGTTTTTTAATGAAAATCGTAACGATCCTCCATCACGAAATCTTTATGACTAACGATGTAATCCTAAAAGCGAATACGTACGGAGATTCTATGTACTTTATCGCCACCGGAACGGTTGCCATTTATACTAAATCAGGAAAAGAAATATGTCACCTTACAGATGGAAATCACTTTGGAGAAGTCGCCTTGGTTGTGAAAACGGAAAAAAGAATTGCTTCTGTAGTTGCCACGGAATGCTCAGAAATGTATCGATTGAATCGTAAGGATTTTATGCGTGCTTTGCTACCTTATCCCGACCTCTTAACAAAAATTCAACATATTGCTGCTACAAGAAAAGAAGAAACGGACGCTGCTGATGATAGAATGAGTACAAAAGGAGAAGGTGGAAAAGATAGACACCATCACACTATTTCGTTCTCAGCTACTAATTCCCCACATTTATCGATGGATTCTATAACATTAAAATTACTTGACCGCTGATTAGTGAACTGAAGTTCTTATCAAGTACTATCTTATATTTATTAATTAGTTGTTTGTAATTTTTAAAATAAATTTTTAAATTTTCTTTTAGTACATTATTCAGTGGCAACTGAAGGGAACTATAATAGTAAGAGTTAATCTTGTCTCAATCAATGCGAAAAAAATTAACAAACTCAGGGAATAACCAAAGATATTTAAGAAAAATTTCATATAATTTATGGGCAAGATTTTACATCATTAAATCATTAAAAATCGTTCACACTTTATTTAAGATACATACATAGCTGTAGATCGAAAGACGAAAACTAAAAGCAGCAAGTAAAGGAAACTATACAACAGGAAGTGACGAGGGCTATGGAAAGGATAATGGAAAGAAGGCTGATAACGAAATTACATACAACGAAAAACCATGAATTTGCCCTTCATTTCCTAGTAGAATTAAAATTAAAAGAAATGGGTAATAAATTGAAGAAACAACATAAATAGTCACAAATTACAACAAATTAAAATACAATCAGGCAAAAATATCAAAATGAAATTAAAGTGAAAGCAGATTCTCGTTGAAATAACTACAAAAACGAAAGCTTGGAAGGCAAATGGAGGTTTTTTAAGGAAACGTTAATTAACTTCACCAGTAAAGCATGTGGGGCGACCAGGTACAGAGGTAACAAAAAACACACACCATAATGAAGTACCGAAGTAAAGTTGTTAACAAAAGGAAAATGTTGCTATCGAAAATATAACTGGAAACGTTCAAGAGTGACGAAAGGAAACGTATAAACAAAAAAGAGCAGAGGTAAAACAGACTATCTAGAAAGTATAAAAAAACAAACAGATGTGACAGAGTTTTGGATTCAGAATAGAGACACCGGCCAAAGGAAACACGAAACTTCTGTACCAGACGCTTAAGACCAAAAAGCAGACGCAAAATAAAAAGTGTCTGCTCTACTGAAAAATTTATACTTCCAACAGAATCAGAAATGTATTTATTTTTGGAATTATGCCTACTTCATTATTCTTAAAATGCCGATTTTTCAACAATGTAACCCAGTAATAGATTTATATGTATTAAATGTTAACCCCAATATGAATGATAAGCTATACCGACTTGTTACGGATCGTATTAAAAATACATTCAAACAAAAATACATTCAAATCGCTTTGGTATAAAATTTGTTGTAACTGAGGACTGCGAAATCCATTTTGAACTTCCTAATTATTACCGGAGTATTAACAGAAGTAAAATAACTTGATGAAGCAAATGTAAAAATATAGTGATGACGGTGCACTCAAGCGCATTGTTATATAAATATTTGCATAGCTTCAAAAAGAAAGCTATTAGCTTTCTCTGCTAACACTTTTCTTGCAATAAAATGGCGTTATAAAAGAAATGTTCAGACTGTTACAGCAATGCGCAGTAATACCGTACTATAGAGTAATCAAAGTCCATCAGAAATGAAAATGTATTGAAGCTTTTAGCCGTGATAGACTATAATAACGATATGGATAGCGTGAATAAATCAAATATGATATTCAATTTTGCGGAATCGATAAGAAAATCTGTCAAGTGCTCACAAAATACGCTCACAGCATAATATTGTATATAAGGGTTCGGTGAGTACCACAAGACCAAAGGGGTGCCAACCAAAGGCTGGGCGGAAACAAATAAGTTGGTATTGGAAAAGTAACTAGATCTAGTGACATTTTAAAAAAGTAACTAGAAAAATTCGCGCCACCTAGCGGTTAGTAGTGGTTAAGTTCCACTACCAACCAGATAGAATGTTACTTTTTTTTAAAGTCACCAGATCTAGTTACTTTTCCAATACCAACCTATTTTTTCCCCCAAGTCTTTGATTGACACCCCTCCCTATACTTTTACATTGAGCGGATGACGTCACGTAGGTGCGGAGATGTAACTTCCTGTCTAGAAGCGGCTTATTTCAAAGGGTTGATTAAGGGTGATGGTACCCTAAATTTTGACAGATTTTTTAATCATCTGGCGGATTTAATACATTACTACTTCATTTCATGAGGAATTTAATTCTAAAACTTTTCTTACTCTTATTATTTTTTAAAAAACTTTGTCGTGTTCATAAAAAACTTCAATAACTAAAGATACGTATTTCGTAATGTTACTTAAAATAAGCGAAAATTCAGTAGTCGGCTATGAAATTGTACGTCAAACTTGACAAATAGGTTATAAAGTTATTTGACGACAAGGTTTTATAACCTATTTGTCAAGTTTGACGTATAGTTTCACAGCCGACCACTGAATTTTCGATGATTTTAAATAGCTTTAACGAAATACGTGTCTTTAGTTATTTGAGTTTTTTATGAGTACGACAATGTTTTTTAAACAATAATAAGAGTAAAAAAAGTTTTAGAATTAAATTCTACATGAAATGAGGTAATAATGTATCAAAACTACCAAAAGGTTAAAAAAATTTAAGGGACCTACACCCTTAATCAACCCTTTGAAATGCCTCTATTGGTCTCAACTTGCTACCAATTAATCCCCTCGGCAGCTTCGTAACGTATACCGAATTTGGTTTTTCTAGCTTAATGTATTACGGAGATATTCAATGTTTTAAAAATTTAAGACCAAACTTAGTATAGAAGTAAGTTGCGTTAAATCATCTTAATTTATTGTCCTCTACATGTCCCTGCTCTGTGTCGGTTCTTATGTAAATCACTCTGTATAGGTTCCATATGTTAATTATTAAAAAGTATTTGAAATGGTTTAAGTAATCATAATAAAAAGAAATGACTTAAAAACAAATAGTCTAATATTTTAACTTTAGGTATCCCTTTCCATACTATGGTGATTGTTAACAGCCTGCTACTCCAGACCATAAGCTTGTATAAAACGGTGCCCAAAATAAGGCGATTACGGTTATGATATCAAAATCATATCTCTTACAGAGGGTGGACTAAAATTATTCTAACCATAACTGGCGTGATTATTTTGATATTTCAATGGATTTCGTGATATAGAGTAAGCAGGCAACAAGTTGCCTTTAAACTCAGTTAGCAATGTGTGATCTTGCACAGATCAGTGTAATATGGGGTTGGGCTGGCTTCGTCCCAGACAGCAAGCAAACTTAGTCCTGTCCAGCACTATTCCCTTCATTACCAAGGATTCGGTGAATAATCGGTGGACATCACGAGAAAGCTCCATCCATCCATTGTTAATACTTTTAAAAAATACACCTTTATTGTCTTCAAATTTTGGGAAAAATGATGCCCCAATTAAGGTGTCTATAATTACTTTATTACTTTTATGAAAATAAAATTTGAAATGTAAAAATATTAGACAACCCCGGTTTTTGTGTAACTCGGGTTTGAATAATGAAACATTTATTTAGAAAAAAATGAAGTAACAAACTGACTCCAGTGGTCATTAGTGCATTCGGTCAGAAAGGTTCGTATCCGTACGCCAACCGACCACGGTTTTTCGTTTACTCAATTACAGCCCCTGCTGGTGGATTGCAAATAAACCCGCACCGCAGACTGTGATTGAAGCATCGCATTGTGCAGAACCGGACTGCATCGGGCTTGGTCCAACGAACACGTATATTTACGTCTGGGAAGCCGGCACCGTCGCCGTTTCAACGTTATGACCCACGACCTGCTAATTATTTGATGCGGAAATAATACCAACCACGTCATCGTCACACTAACACGGTTTTACTATTTGTTAACCTCGATAATCGTAGTGTTAATACTATATTAAATCTTTAATGCAATTTTTATTTTATAAGTCCAAGAAACAGTAATCATTTTAAAATATATGTTCTAAGTTACACGTGAAATTGCGCTTTAAAATCGCACCCTTGGGCGATTCGAAAACAATCCAATTCCCTTCCACGACCTCGAACGTTCTAAGAGGTTTGCTTGTTACGGTAAGATCCTCGACTGGTCCCCCCTGATTTTGATCTCTATTGAATTAATGCCGTCCGTTTTTGTCATTTAAGGGCGGCATTTATCTTCCATTATTCGCTGTGACCGATAACGCCCTTCACATCTTCTCCCGATAAAATAGTGAAATTGGGCGTAGTCGCGAATAAACTCCGTAAGATAGTTCGTGCATTATAATCCGGCTTTAGATACGTACCCGCTAGGAAATCCCATGTTGCCGCAAAATCTGCGTAACTTGACGGGGATTGCGGAGTCCCAGATGACAAAGGGCGTCGTCGGGCTCTTCAACACAACGTCCCTAATGCGTCATCCGGAAACGGAAACGCTGCGAAGAGATTAATATCCGCCGCTGTCGTTAATCTGTTGTCTGGGGCTCGTTAATCTTACCCGATAAGAAACAAAGTCATTAAATCCGCCGTCGCGCGACGGATCGGTCGCTGGGCATACGGAATGGCGCAAGTTTTAACCAGAAAAGTTCCCAGGCGCTGGAATTCTTCTCTATGGCTTCTAAGAAGTATAGCTCCCTGTATATTGTGTTACCAGTTCAAGTTTTAAAGGACATTCAATATTGTTTATTGGACGAGAAACTTTTTAAAGGTACAAAATTAATTTAGATTTATAGAGATCACCTAAATATATTACCAAGTTATTTTATCTTTTCAGCGAGAATACAAAATGAGATTGAAATCAGCTCAATTTATTGATTTGCAATTTCGAACCATTGTTCGCTAGAAACGGTTTAGTATTAACTGATGGGTAAGTTAAAGATCTGCAGCGTAATCAACTTCTTTATTAGAGCGGTATCGGTTCGTCGATGTTAAATGAGAACCAAAAAAAGCGAATAAACCGCTAGTTATCCAAAGTTGGTATCGCTAATAAATCAAAGAGTTCTCTTTGTCATGGTCTCCCAATCCTGCTCGGCATCGTTCGGATTTCGCTCACAGCAATCGCGAATTACATCAGGGAAAATGTAATTGAATCCAACCAGTCTAAAAATCCCTTTTGCACAACCGAATGTAGGACGCCTTTGTAGTAGATCCCGGTAGTTCTATATCAAACAGGTACCCCGAAGGTTCTGGTAG